CAGATATGGATTCCTGCTTTCCACAAGAGGCCAGAATCCCAGTCTCCCCGGGAACTCTGCCTGTATTAACTTTCCAACCCGATAGTCATGCAAGTCTCATGAAAGCACCATGAAATGTAGGTTTGTGCTCCCAGTGCAGACCTCGGGAGCTAGGTATTCAGCAGTCCCAAGCCTTCCACTCTCTCCCTGCTCCGTTTCTCTTCCTCCAGCTGGTGAGCTGGGGTGGGGAAAGGGGTTGGGTCCTGCAGTGCCACAGCTCTGGTACGTTACCCTGTTTGGTGAGGTCTGCTCTTTTCTCCAGGTGTGTGCAGTCTGGTGCCATTGTCTTTCCTGTTGCTCTCTCAAGATTAGGATTAGTTTTACTAGTTAAATTTTCTAATTGTATCCAGTTTTAGGAGGAAGCCTCTGTCTCTCCTCTCATGCTGCCATCTTTAATCCAATCTCCCACAATGGTCATTTATATCATGACTTAATAAATCACACTGTTACATCTTGTGGGGGTGTGGTGTCATTCATCAGTACTACGGTTATATATGAAGCTCACATGTATAGTCTCTAGTTACATATCTGGCAAAAACAAGGCTTGGACCACAGAAGTAAATAAAAAAAGACAAGCTCTCAGTTGTTTACGCATGTCAGGGGTGTCTGTTGTTAAGAAAACACAATCACAACTGAACATCCTGTCACTGATTCAGGTAACTCTGTAAAGAAACCTCTCTCTACACAATCTAGAAAGCCTCTAAAACAAAATGTACTCATAGTGAAATGGCACACATAATTTCTGCTAGCTAATTTCATATTTCTTTATTTGGTTTTAAATACTAACCTTCATTTCCTTCAGTTTGTAGAGTACTTTCAAACTAGCCGTATTTCAAATTCCCATTATTTTCCTTATTTCTTTGTAAATAAGCATACTTGGTAAATGTAGTTATTTATCAGTATGTATGCATTTCACTTTCCTAGTAAGTAACATTTGTTTAGGGACCATGATATACTACATCTGCCCTCTGCCCTCCAGCAGCTCCTAGGGGAAATAAATGGCAGGTGCATGTACAAGCTCACACACACACACATCCCCCTCAGGATCTTTATGTTACCTCATTTCATCTGTATTACATAATCAGCCTATGAAGTGGGTAATAATCTTCTCATTTTACTGGTGGAAAAACAGTTTCCAGCATTTAATATTTTCTAAATCTGAATTTGCTTTTGATTTCATTCTGCATATTAGATGTGGAATCATCATAAATTCTTCTTTTAGGAAATGTTTTCACCTTATCAATTTGGACTGAACTAGCACCTTCTGAGACTATTCTTCAGGGAGTAAACCCCAAGGTGGCCTCAGTTACACTTAACAGCTGGACTAGGAAAAGCAGACAATGGCTCTAACTCCTCTGACAGCAGACACCTCGGCTAAGGCAGTATTGGCATTCTCTACACTGTACTTACAGGGAAAAGCTCTCAGAAAAGCTCAAACCTGCGAGAGCCCCTTCATGGTCTTCTCTCAGTTTTCTCAGTCAGCCTGCTTTCATCTGTGACTGTGCAAGCCAGGAGACTGAGCCAGGGAACAAAAAGAAGATAACTGTCAGACAGAAAATTCTAAAGCCCTGTGCCAAGGGAGAGATCACACTAAAGTATCACAAGGCCATTATGAAATCTAGGGAAGAGGAGAAAGGAAAAGACAGAAAAAGAAAAGATGTCACAGGCAAATAGCAAAACAAAAGCTGACAAGTAATTCTACCCCATTTGCCAAGGCTCCTGCCAAAGAAATCCTCCAGGAAAAGTGTTATGTGCTCCAGGACATCCTAAAAAATGACGTTCACATGAAGCACAGTGTGTCCGTCCTGTCCAGCCACACAACACAATCAAGATCATAAATATTTCACCAGGCAACAATTGTGATCACTTACCATAGGCAGTCTCCCTGTAGTCCAGTTCTCTTCTCAGTCTGTTGTAATCTTCTTTAACACTTTCCAACTTTTTGACATTCCTGGAACTCAGAACCAACAGCTTGTTGAGGAGTCCCTCCAGCCCTTCCTTTTCTGATGCCAGTAACCTTATCTCCTCCGTGAGCTCCTTAGCTGTACAGAAATGGTTTCTTGAAGCGTATTGCAAGAGAGAAGGAGGGAAAACTGAGCTTTACAGTATCCCCACACATGAAAGATTTAGCAGCAGCTAATGTGTATTAACAGAGTGGGTACGGGGGACTGAATTTGCAACTACATCCAACTGCATTAACAGTTTTCTGTGGAGGAACCTAGAAAAACATTACCCATCATGCTTAAGCTGAGAAAACCACCAGTCTTTTTTTTTTACTTCCTCTTTCATTAAATATCAGTTCTCACCTATTTCATCCATTACTACAATCGTATTCAAAAAGATGAGAAAGATGATGAAGTTTGTGAAGAGACAAACAGTTTTCTCCTATGGAAACATACAGAGTGGAATTCTTTCTGATTGTGCTGATGAAATAATAAGGGCAAAAATAGAACCAGTGGGAATGAGAAGAAAATGGAGTTTGGCAAGGGAAAATTAAGTCATGGGCAGATGATGAGGCAAGAGAGGTGTAGTGCCATGGGACACAGTCCAGGACCCATCCAGCCCACAGAGAAAGACATGGCCTTTGGCTGCAGTATGCTCAAAGCCTATACATTAGTCCCTGGGCATGTGTAATCCCTTCTACATGACAAGACTTTATGGAGAAATGTGCAGGCTGGCATTGAACCCCCAACATGTTTGTTCTGACGGGTGGGATCAAGTATCTCTTGGACAGTGTGCTGTGGCACAGCTTGGCTCAAGCCTTGCAGATGCTCCATGAGACAGAAAGTGTCAGTGAGATGTGAATGAATGGTATCAGCTCTGGGCAGTTGAATGTGTCATGCTGAGTGACAGATGGTCATGTCCCAGCCCAGGGTCTCTTCTGCCTGCCCCAGCCTGACTTCACTTCCCCCCTCAGGCTCTGCTCGCCCCTGAGCTTGGCCCTTCCACACACAGGACAAGACCAGGATAGGCTCCCAGCCTTGCTGCGCCACATTTCCAGCTCCACCTGCCTCTCCCACACCCCTGGTTGCAGCTTACTTCATCCCCTAGCCTAGGTGACCTCCCAGCCCTGCTTACCCCAACTTATTCTTGTTTTGTCTGTTTTAAGGGTCCCATTGGCCAATTCATGTCCTTGTGAAACATAATAACACAAAAATGTCCTATTGTAACCCAGGGAAGCCACATGGCATCACTTTATTCAAATATCTAAATGTCAAAGAGGTGCAATATTAGACCTAAATTCAAATCCTAGTAATCCTCTTACTTAAACTGTGTGACCTTGAGCAAAGAAATTGGTATATCTATTTCAGAGTAAACTTCTTATAACATATACACTATAATTACATCATAGGTGGCTGGAAGAATAAACAAGAAGTTCTTTTTTTATTGATGTATAGTTAATACAATATTATATTGGCTTCAAGTATACAATATAGTGATTCGACCTTTATCTACATTATTAAATGCTCGCCCCAACTAGTGTAGTTACTATCAACACAGAAAGGTGTTACAGAATAGTTAGGTATATTCCTTATGCTGTACTTTCATCACTGTGACCAATTAATATTATGATTGTGATTTTGTCCCTCTTTATCCTCTTTTCCTATTTCACCCACCCACCTAAGCCCCTTCTCCATTGTACCCACCAGTCACATCTCTGTCTATGAGTCTGTTGCTGTTTTGTTGATTTTGTTAAGAATAAACATGAAATCCTATAAAGCACTGAGCAAAATATATGGTGCATTGAATTTAGCAAGGTTGTAGAATACAAAGTCAGTTGTATTTCTAAATATCAGCAGCAAATAACTGGAAGATTGATTTTCTTAAATACTATTTGCAAGATACTTTAAAACTCAAAATGCTTAGGGACAAATTTAAAGAAACATGTGTAGGAGGACCTTTACACAGAAACCCATTTTTAAAATTTTGAGAGAAATTAAAGAAGGCTTAAGTAGTTAGGAAAATATACTATATATACATTGGAAAACTGAATATTGTTAAGATCTCCATTTTCCTCATATTGATCTATTGATTCAGTACAATTCCAATCAAAATCTCATGAGGGTCTTCTATAGAAATTGATAAGCTGATTCTAAAATGTTAAAGACAATACAAAAGCCTAGATAAATCAAAACAATCTTTAAAAGGTAAAACAAAATTAAAGGACCTATACTATTTGATTTCAAACTAACACTGAAGCTACAATAAATCAAGACAGTATGGCACTGAAACATAGATAGATAAACAACAGATTAATGAAATAGAATAGACAGTCCTGAAATAGGCCCACACTCACACGGTTAACTGATTTTCAACTACAGTGTCAAAACAAGTCAATGAGGAAAAGAGTATTTTCAACAAATGGTAATGAAACAACTAGCTACCTATATGGGGAAAACATCAACCTTGATCCATACCTCAAACAATACACAAAATTTAAGAGATGGATCACAGACCTAAATGTAGAAGCAAAAACTATAAAGCTTCTAGAAGAAAATATAGAATAGCTTTCTGACTTTGGAGTAGAAAAACTTTAGTTAGGACAAAGAAAACACTAACTATATAATAAAAAATGGATAAATGGACCTCATCAAAATTAAAAACATCTTCTTATCAAAAACACCATTAATAAAATGGATAGGCAAACCACAGTCTAGAAGAAAATATTTGCAAAATATATAACTGACAAAGGACTTTATCTTACAACTCAATAAATAAAACACGACAGGTATTTTACATAGGTACATATACAAATGACTGATCAAGCATATGAACAAACGTTGGTGACCATTAGTCACCAGAAAAATGCAGATTAAGGCCATAGATATTCCACTACAAAACCATTCAAATGGCTCAAGTTAACCAAACAAAATCTCTATGTTGGCAAAGATGTAGAGCACCAGAACTCTCATACATGATGAGAGTGTAAAATAGTACAACCACTTTGAGGAAAGTTTGCCAGATTCTCACAAAGTTAAATATACACCTATCCTTTGATCCAACATTTCTACTTCTCAGTATTTACCCAAGAGAAATGAAAATATGTAATAAAAATAACTGTATTAGAATGTTTATAGTGGCTTATTTCATGTGAGCCCCAAACTGAAAGCAACCTAAATGTCCATTGAGAGATGCAGAAACATGGATATATCTATACAGTGGAAGACTACCCAGCAAGAAAAAGGTACCAACTCCTCATACACATGGTGACATGGAAGCATCTCGAAAAAAATGAGTACATACCACATGATTCCACTGATATTAAATTCTAGAACAGGGAAAACTAATCCAGAGTAAAAGACAATGGAACAGAGGCTATCTGGGGAAGGGCCACAAGGGTGAGGTTTCCAGGGTGATGAAATATCCTGAGAAGGCTGCTGATAACACAGGTGTCAAAATTCATAGAACTGTATACTCAGAATCTATGCATTTCTTTCGACATAAATCATACTTCAATAAAAAAGGAAAAATACGTGAGGGAAAATTTAACTATGAAAATTATACCATAAATTAATAACTATATCACATTAATGAGTGCTCCAGAAATAAAAATGTTATCAGGGAGCTCCATTATGTTTCCTAATAGTTTATTATAACCATCATCACAGAAACAGCTACAAACCTCTCCTTTAAATCTCACCACAACCCTAGGTAGGGAGGTTATGTCCTCTGGGATCTATTCTAAGATGCACTTTTTTTAATTTGACATATTCACACCTCTGAAATGGGGATGTTCCTTGCAATCAGCCAGAAGGTAATCCAGATGAAGTTGTTATTCCATGACTATTATTACAGGACCTAGCTGACCATCTGCAACCCCCAGTGTTTCCAAGTACAGACTGTTTAAGGACCATTTGAGTCATGCCTGTGGCCTGAAAAACATCATTGAAATGTATTTGTAAGGTCTGGAAAGCACCAGCATTTAAAACTTGAAGAACGGTGTTGCAGCTTGCAAAAAATCCTACAGAAAACAGGAGTCTGTTCTTGAAGGAAAAGAAAAAAAGTTGCACCACCAATGGCTTTCCTGTGCAGAGGATGATAATGAGCAGAAAAACATGAGCCTCAACTACTTTGAGTCAAAATGTGTTTCCGAACATTCAGCCTCTGAATAGAAAGACTTTTAAGAAAATCTTAACCAATTCATTTTCCTTATATTTTCCTTTTTTAAGAGGGATATGTGATTTTTCAAATGCCTAAATACATGTGAAAAATGTATTTCAAAAAGTACAAAATAAAAATCCTGCACCACAGAAAGCATTGTATCATTGTTTAATTTACAGCAATTTTTCTTTTTTGGTAGTATATAAAATAATGGAACATTTTATGTTCACTGAAATACATGTGGTTATCTCTACTGTACAGTCAAAATAACTGACGTCTAAAGTCTAAAGAATTTAAGGTTGCTGAAGGTTACATAGCAATAAAATGCAAGGCATGTTTCCAATTCAAATATAACTCCAGATCCCTCTTCTTAGGTGCTAAATTATCCTGTTTACTTCTTTATTGTTAATATTTAATAACATGTGATATATAATGTGGAAAACATGAGAAAATGTTATCCCACTTTAAAGGAAGGGAGTCTGAACACCCAGCACATATCAGTTCTTTCACTGATATCTATGGTTTCTAATTCCATGCCTGGATAAATATCTCTGAAGCCCCCACTTACTGTCTATCACTATAGTGGGCAAGTGAAGAAGAGAACCAGGTACTACCTCTGCTCTCCAGGAAGCCATTATTAAATAAAGGGGATAAGATGTATTGTAAGAAATAGGCAAATGTGTGTAGGAGAGCTCAGAGAAGGAAAATTGTTCCAGAAGAGGAGACAGAGACAGGTTTCATGAGGAAAGAAGGTAAGATTTTCAAAAGAAGAGCTATGACGCCTGGTTAGAGAGCAAAGGGCTTTGTTTCAGTGGGTGGTAGGAGGCATGGGACTGAGGTGGAGACTACATTGACAGAGAAATTGGATCCAGATGGGAGACCACCCAAAATGCCAAGCAGATGGGCTTGGACCCTTTAGGAAATACTAAGTCCTGATTAGAACAGTTGGGACTTCCA